AGTGGTAAGAACTTAGTTTTTTGGCTAAGATCATATAACGTGATTAAGTGGTAAGAACTTAGTTTCTTGGCTAAGATCAGAGTACTTGAATAAGTGATAAGAACTTAGTTTCTTGGCTAAGATCAGAGTACTTGAATAAGTGATAAGAACTTAGTTTCTTGGCTAAGATCAGAGTACTTGAATAAGTGATAAGAACTTAGTTTCTTGGCTAAGATCAGAGTACTTGAATAAGTGGTAAGAACTTAGTTTTTTGGTAAAGATCATATAACTTGATTGAGTGGTAAGAATGTGGTGTGGACCCTCCTCCTACCATGGGTCAGAAGTGTTATTCTTGATGCTACTTGGTTAAGAACTTAGTTTTTTTGGCTAAGATCAGAGTACTTGAATAAGTGGTAAGAACTTAGTTTTTTGGCTAAGATCATATAACTTGATTAAGTGGTAAGAACGTGGTGTGGACCCTCCTCCTACCATGTATCAGAAGTGTTATTCTTGATGCTACTTGGTCTTGGACTGGAGTTGACCGGCCGTGTAAGGTCCAACGTGTTCTAGCCACTCTACACCTTGGGGCACATCCATTTTTATTTTCCCCACGTTCTTGTCTGTGGATGATTCTTCTATAGTCATTCTTCACCTTGATTGAGATTCACGTATATTGTGGTTCGAATTTGCAATCACCTCGTTTTTCTCCCCCTTTTTGGTTGTGCTCCTCCCACTTTCTGCCCGTGCAGGTGACACCTATTTCTACACTGGGTGTTGTGTATACCTGTTACAAAACTGTTGTGGCCTCCCACATATGTTCCTTTTCCAACAGGGATCACACTTCATGGGTGTTCTTCGGACACTTTTGAAGGATACTTTTTTATATCCTTTGCACCGGTCCCTCCACCTATTTAATGTGGAATTATAGCTATACATGTGAGAGGAGGTAAGGTACCATATCGGAAGTTATTGTTTTCTTATACTGAAAATATATTTCTGATAGGTACTTACCACTTCTCACACTTCCTCCATACTTAAAACCAGTGCTTCCTTTCTGTTTATCTCCATGTGATAGTTTGGTAGAATCAAATAGAGGGAGTCATATGTGTTGGGAGGGTGTGTTGCACTCCTATTGGTGGAGGGTTCTTACATGATGATTTACATATAAGAAGTAGTGAACCATGTTGATTGTAGGGTAGGTAGGAGCTCAAGGCTTGTGGCATGCAAAAAATTTGTGCATGTAGAGGGCAACACTGAATGAGAATAGCTATACATATGAGTTGAGGTAAGTACCTATAGAAAATATATTTCAGTATAGGAAAATTAAAACCTATAGTCACTTTAATTCAGGAATATGATATGTATAATGTTTCAATGAAGAACAGGAACTATGTTTTTCAAGTATCACATCACTGTACCTATCTAACACTGTATGTATAATGTGTACACATAATCATTTACTTGTTGACATTTTAAACCATATAAAAATTATTTATATTATATTGGGAATAACTTACTCTCCTATAGTGTGTTTCATATCTATCAAATAATTGGTTTTACTGCCGTATATAGTTTGGGAATAACTAACTCTCCCCAATTATTTGATAGATATGAAACACACTATACTATATACAGCAGTAAAAAAACACACTATAGGAGAGTAAGTTATTCCCAAACCATATCTATCAAATGTTTCAAATTTTCCTAGTTCTGATCTAGAACATTACAAATTCAGTTGATATCATGTGCTAAGTAGCAAGTTCAGTCAAAGAATAGTTTCATTGGATAGGTCTATTGTATCATACTTTTCTTTGTATACATTTTATGACTGTCACATAGAGCTGAGATACTTTCAGATTCTTGTCATCAAATTCTCTGATTGGTTGGCTTTCCAATCTCTGAGCAGAGAGTAGAGCAGATTGTTTTTAGCTTTTAAAGAGCCAGAACATGTTGTGGAAATGTTGTCTTTGTTTTTATTCACCAGTCGGCTGTGTAGTTGATCATCTTTGGAGCTTTCTTTATTTCACAAACAACTGTCCACTACCACTACTTAAGTACCTTATTTCACAAACAACTGTCTACTACCACTATTCAAGTACACAAACAACTCAGGTAGTCAATTCTTTGTTTTATTTGTACTCCAACTTAACAGTGTGTCTTGCCTTCTTTGTTCCATCTGTGAGAAGTCGCTATATTTGTCCCTCTTCGTACTAGATCCTAAGTGTTTAGTTGTAGATGATATTGGATAGGTATAAACCTAACTTAACCATAGTTACAATAAGTCAAGGAGAAATATATGACATAGATACTTCATTCTTAATGATCAAAAATGAAATTTTGGTAACCATTTAATAAACTGGTCCAGACCTAAATGGCATTTGTTTTGTCTTCAAGATGAAAGTGACTTATAATGACCAGTATGTGGTGACATCAGGAGAAGATAGTCTTCTCTGTGTGTGGAAACTTACTGATAAAGAAGGACGAACCATGAAACGAGATAAGGAAACAGCCTACAGTCAAGAAATTCTGGTTACTAGGGCTGATCTTGAAGAAAAGGTAAACACAAATGGAAATACTACTTATTAAACTTTATGGTTTTTTTATAAGTAGGTATGTATGTGTGTGTGTGTGTGTGTGTATATATATATATATATATATATATATATATATA